GATGCCAGACGTCGTCGGGTTATTGCTGAGCGCGATCGGCCTCAACTTGCGCGCTTTCTGGGGCAGCTTCAGCAAGGCGAGATCAGCCCATGTTGTGCAGCCCCACCTCGCTTCACACGTCCCAGGTGCACCCCGTTCGCCGTATCGGGGGTGCACGTGGACGCTGCTGGTCGGCACGTCAAGAGGGGTGCCGGCCAAGTCAGGCGACCACCCTGGCGTTGGCCCGGTCTCGTCGTGCGCGAGGTGCACTGTGGTCCCGTGGGGGGCACCCTCGTCGTTGGCTACGCAGTGCGCGGCCGTAAGCACCCACTCCTCGTCCACAAGCATCCCGGAACACGTGCCTCCAGACTTTAGCATCACCATCCACTCAAACTCGCCGCCAATCTGCGCGTGATGGGGAAGAGGGCGCGCGGGCTGGGATGGAGGGAGGAGGGAGGACGCAGCCGGCCGGCGCGCACCTTCCACTCCCTCGTCTTGTCGACACCTTCTGCCATGCGCCCGCTGCGCTCGCCGTCCACCTCTTCGCACTCCTGACAACAGTGATGAGCCACGCGAGGCTCGTTGCAGAAGCCTCTCAGGCTCGCAAGCCCGGCGCAGTCCGAGACATTCCGCTCCTGCGCGGCGCAGGCCACGGGGTTGAGATTCTCGCACTCCTCAGCAACCACGGGCCCAACCACGCCGGCATCCGTAGTCAGACACTGCTCTCGATTCGGGCCGGCGGCGAAGCTGGCCGCCGTGAGTGTGAGTATTCTTGATACGAAACCACGACGACACACACCAGTCGACTCGCATCGGTTGCCTCCATGAACGGCGGAGCTATTCTCGCGCCCACACCACACCTGGCTCCAACGTGGACACGCCCATAGCTGGGGACACTACTAGGTCACGCATGGCATCACAGAAGTTTTATCTCTGGGCCCCGAAAGGCATCTCTAGCAGTGTCGTTACACATGCCCCCTCCCCTCCTGGGCGCATGCGCCTCACGTCTCGCCAGAGCATAAGCCCTTGGCGTGTGGCGAGACGAGTTTTTCGCCATGCGCAGCGAGCAGCAAGCCGCCCGCCGCAAACAGCCGGAGGCCTCGCCGCGGCACTGGCTGCACACACACACACACACACACGCTGGCCGCCTCGAGTGCGGCCAAGAGGAGCAGGTAAATTGGGCGCATGGATGTATGAAGATTGCGGAGACCGCCCGCCGGTCTGGCAGGAAAAGTGCGAGAGAACCCGCCGCCGCGTTTCGTAAAAACCAGAAGTGCATTCTTTTGTTTTGACCCACGACGCGGGTATCTGAGGCCCGGCATTAAACGCGACTGACCACCCATGTGGCTTATGCCCATCGGCATTACGCGAAGCGGCGGCACCGCAGGGCTCGCACCGTTGAATTGCCGGCTCACTTGCCACCTTTGCGAGCCTCCGCTGCACCCACAGCTGGCGCTGCTGCACCGGTCGCGTCTGGCGGTCATGCAAGTGGAGCTGGAGGATCCTCCAGCGCCCGACGCCGAGGCTGGCGTCGTCTGTGCACGGGGCGTGTGCGTGCTCGCCGACGAGGCCGTCGCGCCCGAGACGTGCGTCGTCGGCGACGACGGCACCCTCTCGTGCGAGCCCAACACCGGCGCGCCGGCACCGGGGCTGTCGCTCCCGTACCTCTGGCCTCGGGGGCTGCTACTCTTCTCGTCGGTGCTGTACGGGACCAACTTCCCGCTCGGCCGCATCATGAACGAGGCTCTGCCGCCCTCGGCCG